CAGGATATGACCTGTAATGCATTTGAGGCTGGATGAAACTGGGAGCCAAGGTCAGTTCTGAAGGGGAAGAAAAGCTAGATTCGACCACAAGACTTCTGATCGGGAACCATGCATTAAACCATAATAATACGGCGGTAGCTCTTAACCACTCAACTACGGAGTGACTATAAATGCCGAAGAACGAATTAACGCTCTAACGACTAGGTTAGTTGCGTATCATTTACAGGACGTTGCAGAACCAACCCCAACAGCCACTGGCTGTTGTGTGGTTTCTCTAGGCAAATGTACATCCAGTAGTTTGCCATTGCCTCCTAGACGGTCGGCCCCCTGATACCACTGTCGAAACCAACGCAAGGCGCATGGTCCGCAGCTGGGATCGATCCCGGCACCCCTTCAATACGAAGCGTTCGTATCAACTTAGCCACAGAGCCGACGTACCGACTAGTCTGGGGGATAATGTTGAACATCTGACACTAACGCTACTGCGTACCTGGGAGTTAAGCTTGGTGAAGCACGTCTATGCCGTCTTCAAGGTCAAGACAGGAGATAATATAACCAACTTATCATGGAAACAATCAGTAGAAGTACACTGGAGTGGCTGCTCCATCGGAGGATTGAGCATGCATGAGAATACCAAAATGTGCAAAGACGTCGATTGTGATAACAATGTTAGAAGAGGTCACGAAGGATTCTATTACCTCACACCTCCCCTTTCTGAATCACCGGTTGGAGATTCCAATAACAAAAATACATCACCACGCGGTGTCAACGAACCAAACTTAGCAGCCATGTATTCTGTTAGAGGACCCTGGACGGAGAGAGAAGGGAAAAGAGGGGGTAAAGGAAGTTAAAGGTCATCGGGTCTGGCAACGTAAACATCAAATTTGACCGTCGTAATACGAGACGGTTGGCGATTTTCTGTGTAATCATCAGATTATTGATCACGCATGAATAATCAAAACAGCACAGATGTTGGGTTATCAGTGGATCTAGCTGGGTTGGGGAAAACAGGCAGAGTGGAAACTTTCTCTGTCGATTCGGCTCTATGAAAATATGAGTCATTGAAGCGGAAAATTTGTGTCTATTGGCATGGATTCATGAAGAAACGGGCTTCCGCACACTGAAACATACAAACGCACAGAGTTTCTGCTATCAGTGCCAAACATGGACACTCACATCCTCTAATGAACGTAAAATTTGTGACCGCAGAGATAAAATTTCTTAGAAGAGCGGCAAGAGTTTCAAGGAAAGACAGAATACGAAATCACGAAATCAGACGAATGCTAGGAATAAAGCCAGTCTCACAGGTCATCAAAGAACAACAAATAAAGTGGTTTGGACACCTAACAAGAATGCCTTGGTACTATCCTGCCACAGCGAGCCACACTGAAACGTTACAATGGGTTTAGATCGAGTGGAAGACCTCGGAGAACACGGAGTGATGGCATTAAGAACAGCCTTACAGAAATGAACAATCTGAATAGTGCTCATGACAGAGCTCATCAACGAATGTTTCATCTCCCTCCGACAGTTCCCTGAGGTACAAGGTGGAAGAGAAGAAGTTTTTATGCAGAAGTTTTTATGCAAGACACGGCAGAACCAACGCTAGCAATTTTTTTTTCTGTTTATGATTTCACTAAATACTCTTGAAATATGGGCTCTCGATAAATTTTTTTAAAACTAACGCAAAGCGGTCAGCCGTCAAATCGCCTGCAGCTGGGATCGAGCCGGGCATTTCGTCACTGCGAAGCATAAACCATAGACGCTGATGAAAAGTACTGTATTTGTCTAAAGTAGAAGTACTGAGCACTAAAGTACTATACACAAAGTTGTGTATGTATACAAGCTAGACTTATCTTATAGAATAGAGATTCTCAACCTTATTAGTGCTGCGACCCTTTTATACACCACTTCATGCTGTGGCGACTCCCCAACTGTACTTTCGTCGCTACTTCATAACTTCAATAAATATGTGATTTGCGATGGTCTTTGCCGAACCCTGTGAACGGGTCGTTCGACACCTCCTCCCCCCCAAAAAAAAAGGTCGCGATCCATAGGCTGAAAACCGCTGATACAGACTAATCAACACTTGGTGGGTGAGCACACCGGCCGCCTTTACTTCCCAGGACTTTTACCTGCTACCCATTTAAGGCTGGATCGACGTAGGAGCCAGTCATTAAAAAAAATCTGAGTCAGGACCCGAACACATGACCTAACCGGATCCGTGGGTAAGTCTCTAGCCACTAGACCACCTCGGCTTCCAAAGTACCAGTTAACAAGACTAAAGTAGACATACTGACTAATCCCATGACAGGAGTAAATATTTGCTTAGCTCGTTGACGGCCGCACTGTACCAACACCCACATAAGGAATACGACACTCGACCCGAGAACGCCCGCCTCCTCATCTCCGACCCCCGTCAATCAATGTCCCCGCACAAGTCACGCAGCAGTAACGTGTGAGCTGTAAAGTGACACCCCTAGGTTTCAATGTAGGGCCACTACAAGTACTCTCCCCAACCAGCGGTTCTAGAACTGGCAGAGACAGGCCACTGCAGCGTGGAGTTTATTACTGCTGATGCTCTTGACAGATCTTCGCGTGTCTTGAGATGCGGGTACTACTATTTCTAGCGGTGCGTACGGTCTACACGGGTAGTCAGGTAGTCTTCGTTCCAAGTGAGCGGTGTGTGGCAATACCTGGGTGACGATTGCTTACTATGGAGTCAAGAATTTGACTAACATACTTGTTTTGTAAACTGGAAGGAGCGAAATTGGTGGAAATGGGCGGGGGGGGGGGGGGGGGTTGTGTGGGGTGGCGACTAGTTGAAAGAACCAAAAATCGAAGAAGACAAGCAGAAGGAGCAAAAGAAACAATAATAATAATAATAATAAGAAGAAGAAGAAAAGAAGAAAAAGAAGTGATATAGTTTAAAAAAAAAAAAAAAAAAAAAACGTGGACCCTAACAGCCGACCTCGAAAAGCAGATACAAGAACTGGAAATAGGTATTTTCGAAAGTCCTTAGTATAACGTACAGAGACAACGTGTGTGTCAACTGCGAACTGCAGTTCTGATATGAAACAATTAGCGTTGGCACATCTGACAGCTGCCTGATTATTGTAGTTGAAAAAAAGAATCAAAAATCGAAGAAGAAGCAGAAAGAGCAAAAGAAACAAAAATAAGAAGAAAAAGAAGAAAAAGTGGTAGATACAGTTTAAAAAAAAACAGTATACAAGACAAGAAACAATGACAGAAGAAATAGTAGCAGCAGTTAAAGGGCAAACCTCGCTAGTGGCACATCAGGGATATATTGCTTGGCTCATATTTAGACCAATCGGCACTCGGTTGATGTCAACATCGTGAAGGCTGCTTTTACTTCCACGGACTTTACCCTGTACCCCTTGTAGGCTGGGTCGACCCGGTAGCCAAGATCATTGTTTGAAAACCAAAACTCCGATTCTATGCGGACTTGAACCCATGACCTTTAAGAATAGTAGCAGCTGTGGTAAAATAAGAACACGACGGCTTAGTGCGCCAGCTAAAAATCTTTTAAAACGTGGACCCTAACAGCCGACCTCGACAAACAGATACAAGAACTGGAAATAAGTATTTTCGAAAGTCCTTAGTATAACGTACAGAGACAACGTGTGTGTCAACTGAGAACTGCAGTTCTGGTATGGGACAATTAGCGTTGGCACATCTGATAGCTGCCTCATTTACTTGGCGTGTGCAAGCCTCAAGATTTTGACGGGAGTGACATGATTTTCACCAACTTTTTTTTTCTTTAATGGGACAGTACAGGACGTTTTTTTGCCATTTCCGCTAAGACAGTAACGGGGCAGATATATGGCGACCAACCTGCAGTGATTTTGGACCAACGACAAATAAGACACAAATAACTAATAGTAGAGTTCACTGTATCATCACTAAACAAATCAGCAGCAATGTTAAAGACGGACACTGCAAATGTATGGATGTGCAACAAGTTCTCCCCGTCTCGCCAAAACAAAACTAAACGGCTCAAAAAAGAGAGAGCGGAGATGAGCCTCAATCCAAAACAGGATTTGCTGGTCTTATTCTCAGCATGTTACCATCAGAGATCGATGAATCTGATCAGACAACCGGAAATGACGAGCCACAGACAGATTTTATTATAAAACTAAGATGATCAATATTTCGTTGCGTTCGCCCATTACAAGTGATGAGGGCCACTCTTCCTTTCATTGGTCATGAAACTGTAGTTGATTGTTTGTGAGTCCGGAGGTGACTTAGAAGTCCAATACGTACCCGGAAGAGTCTTGGACAATGAGTGCAGGGCACAGTGTCGGTAGACAAAGGGCTTGTTTGACGGTTCTTTCTGGCCCGTCTTCGCTGTTTAGCTGCCCTTGGTCTAGACGCCTGGCAATAAATAAGTATAATACTTTTCTCCTCCTCCTGTCGTCTCACCGATACCACGTTGTAGTCCAGTGACATTGTTTTCTTTATCTGTCTTGCACTTTTCGAGTGGCTAGAGTTATGGATTTGTACATTTGTTTTTGCAGGTTTCAGCTACGCACCTCAATCTCTATCCTTTTTAGGGACACACTTTTCGTTATTTTGAAGCCCCACCAAAGTTGTTGCCGGGGCCCTTAATATAACATGAAGGTTGAACGGGGTTTCTGGGACCTTTCCACGGATAATCCTCATCCGAATGGTGGCATTTTGCGTCACTGGGTGTTCACGGCTCAGTGTGATGTCCTAGTGGGGTAAAAAATGCAGTCAGTTTCAGCTACATGATTTACAAATCTCTTTCATGTTGCGCCCACTGCCTTCCTCCCAAATGTTTTGCTGTAAAAAAAAAAAAGTATTTGCTTTTGGTCTGGCTGCATTCACACTAGATGGTCGAACCATTTTATTCTTTGTCAGTAATAATTCAGACATGGTCACATTTCAACTTTCTAATGATGGTATTCCTAACCCTGCCCCTTCTTGTATTGTTAGTAATCTTATAGAGACAACGGATTTCACATGTAATATTTTCTGTTCCAGTGGCCTATTAACTGTCCATATCCGGGATTGATGCACAATACAGGCAGGAAGATGCTATTAATTATTTTTTGCTGGAAGGGAGACATGCGGGTCTCTGAGACATGCGGGGTGTCTGAAACATGCGGGGTGTCTGAAACATGCGGGGTGTCTGAAACATGCGGGGTGTCTGAAACATGCGGGGTGTCTGAAACATGCGGGGTGTCTGAGACATGCGGGGTGTCTGAGACATGCGCGGGTGTGTCTGAGACATGCGGGGTGTCTGAGACATGCGGGGGTGTCTGAGACATGCGGGGTGTCTGAGACATGCGGGGTGTCTGAGACATGCGGGGTGTCTGAGACATGCGGGGTGTCTGAGACATGCGGGGTGTCTGAGACATGCGGGGTGTCTGAGACATGCGGGGTGTCTGAGACATGCGGGGTGTCTGAGACATGCGGGTGTCTGAGACATGCGGTGTCTCTGAGACATGCGGTGTCTCTGAGACATGCGGTGTCTCTAAGACATGCGGTGTCTCTGAGACATGCGGTGTCTCTGAGACATGCGGTGTCTCTGAGACATGCGGTGTCTCTGAGACATGCGGGGTGTCTGAGACATGCGGGGTGTCTGAGACATGCGGGGTGTCTGAGACATGCGGGGTGTCTGAGACATGCGGGGTGTCTGAGACATGCGGGGTGTCTGAGACATGCGGGGTGTCTGAGACATGCGGGGTGTCTGAGACATGCGGGGTGTCTGAGACATGCGGGGTGTCTGAGACATGCGGGGTGTCTGAGACATGCGGGTGTCTGAGACATGCGGGTGTCTGAGACATGCGGGTGTCTGAGACATGTGGGTGTCTGAGACATGTGGGTGTCTGAGACATGCGGGTCTCTGAGACATATCTGAGACATGCAGTGTCTCTGAGACATGCGGGTCTCTGTGACATGTCTGAGACATGCAGTGTCTCTGAGACATGCGGGTGTCTGAGACATGCGGGTGTCTAAGCAGTAAGACTAGCTGGTAGGCCTACAGTTGCCTTCTGTCTTCTACGTCTCTATCGATTCTGCCATCATCCGTAAATATGCTTCCGAGATATTTAAATTCTCACATTTGTTTGATTGTAATACCGTTAACATGCACGTTCATATTATGTTTCTTGCCTGTTCTCATTGAAGTCTGTGGCTAAGGCGTTGCGAACCAGCTTCGTAATGCCGGGATGCCGGGCTTGTTCCCAGCTGCGGGCCTAGCACCGGTTTCGACAGTGGTATCGAGAACCCACCCTTCCAGAATGCAATGGCAAACTACTAGATTTGCTTAGAAAAACCACAACAGCTCCCCCTCCCCCCCCTCCCCCAAAAAAACGCAGGGATTGATTCTGCAACTTCCTCTAAAGGATACGCAAGTAACTGTTTTCATTACTTTAGCAATAATAATAATAAAAAAAACAAATTATAAAAATTATGTGTTCAGGACAAAAGCAGACTTGAGAACCCTTAGTGTACAGTAGAGCGTATCTGATTTTTTAAACAACGGTTATTTCATAAGTTCTTTGATAATATATGGGCCTAGAAATAAGCTTTACTATAACTAATGACAGTCTGAACTTTGCTTAACCCAGGTCGTTTTTTAACCAAACAACTCGCAGACACGCTGAAGACACGATGTGCACTCGCTGATAAGTATTGTTTTCTTACTTAAAAAAAAATTGTGTGCCATTTATTTGTTCATTGACATTAGGCGCCTGCGTGGTCTCGAGGAATGGTATCCGTCTCTAGTGCTAGAGGTTCCGGGTTCAATCCCCGGTAAGGGCTGGGATATTTTCACGTGGACATGGAATTTTAGTAATTTTCCCTGGTCTCTGGGTAGTAAGATCGGACGCCCGTGTTCATTGTTGCAGTTGGAAATCGAAAAAAAGTACCCTAACGAGGCTGCCAGAGCAAAATTTGGAGTTAAAAATCTACTCAGAGTATTTTAGGATCCTCGCCGGTGCCACAGAGCCTGCGCAATGTGCTGAGCTTCTTCGGACTCAGACTTGAGTTAAAAGAAGAAGGGAGCACTTATGGGTTACACCAGTGTGCCATAGTGTTGATCCGTTGTTCAAACTTTAAACTTGATTGACATTATGGTTTTATTGGCTACGACTGGGTGAATGTCAGTGTAAATAAGGAGTGGGACCATAAACTGGATGAATGTCAGTGTAAATAAGAGATGCGATCATAAACTGGGTGAATGTCAGTGTAAATAAGGGGGTGCGATCATAAACTGGGTGAATGTCAGTGTAAATAAGGGGTGCGATCATAAACTGGGTGAATGTCAGTGTAAATAAGGGGTGCGATCATAAAAAGACGAAGACAAATTATTACACTAAAATACACTGGATTAAAGAAAATGCATGCTCTGTCTCTAGTGTGCTCTCTCCCTCTCTCTCTATCTCTCTCTCTCTCTCTCTCTCTCTCTCTTCTCTCTCTCTCTCTGTATCTTCTCTGTGTGTGTATGTATATCTACTTATCTGTCTGTGGGAAGACTTAAATGGAGACATGAGGGTTTGGTCGAGATTCATTCTCATCAAATGTGTCAAGTCTGTCTCTTCGTGACATCTCTGACTGTTTCTTTGCTTGAATGTCTCTGTGTGTGCACGTGTCGGTCTGTGTGCACGTGTCTGTGTGTCTATATGTATGTCTGTATAGGCACTGACGCAGAATAAATACGTAACTGTCCCATCAGAGAAGAAATAGTGATCACGAATCGGAAGAATGTCACTTAACTGGTACTGCATGGATTAATGTAGGAATGCAAAAAACACTACTGAGAACTTCCAAGCCCACACCTCACTCATGGCACGTAGCCATCAATTATTCATCACCATACAACTTGACACCACGTGAATGAATAATCACAAGCTCCAACACGGAGCCAGTCTCCAAGTAGGTTCCAGAGCAATGAACTCCCAGTTCCACTGATGCGTAGTTACCTTTGGCAGTCCCGCCGTCAACACGAAAATTGGCGACCCCCTCCCCCCCACGTCCCCCCCCACCCTTCCAGGGAAGGGGTCTTTATACATTTTAAGGGGTGCACTAAGGACCTGAACCTTGTTTGAGTGCGCTACAAAAAATACTTATTCTTATGTGTCGACTGGAAAACATATTTAATAGTGCCTTTGAAATAACTTTAAATGTATAAGCAGATGTTTCAAAACAGAACTACACATGGTTTAAAAAGTAACGGGGGGGGGGGGGGGGGGGGGGGGGGGGGGGTAGCCACTTTGAAAATTGTATAGGGGGTCAAGGGAGGCCTCAGCACAGGCCCAATTTTTTTCGGGGGGGGGGGGAGGGGCGCCTGATCTTCCTTGCTTTCAGCGCCCTTGCAGCTTGGTACGGGTCGGCTAGAAAGTAACAGCACTGCGACAACAATCATTACCTTCTATGAGCTTTGCTGTGCTATGACGGAAGTTCTTTGAAGTTATTTGTTTTTTTTAACCTCTGTAAAACGACAGCTTCTTGCTGTTTCTGCCAATGCTCGTACTTTGGACGAGGGACTAGTCCGCAAAGTTCACGGCATCCATTTTTCTAGAAAGCACTGATGCGTGGGCCCAGATTACTGGAGGCTTTGAAGAAAAACGAGCGTTTTGAATGCGGTGTTTCTGCAGCTTCACAATAGGTCACTGGGTATTGTTTTGTTTATCTGTCCTATTTATATTCTGTGCGGGCGCATCATTGCGGTTTGATAACAAAGGTAATAAGAGTATCAGTGACATATTACTTGCTATTCGAAAGTTCCCAATATACAGAGTAAGGTCTTTAAGATAAATGTTTTCTTGCGCTCTGAAGGCTGGGGGTAAAAAATAAAAAAAGTGCACGGTGTTTCATTGCGATTGAGAATGGAAGTTGTGTAAACAGGTTTGGAAGTTTTTGACATCTCATGGCACACATAAGTGCTCCATTCTTCTTTTAACTCGTTTGTATACAAACTTCTGAATCCTCGCCTCACTCCTATTCCGAAGAAAATACCCAGAATTAGTAGACTTTACGACATGCTTGTCAGGGGGCAGGTAAGTCTATTCGTTTCCCTCACAGGGGAGCTCTGGAACCCACACAGGGGAGCTCTGGAACCCACACAGGGGAGCTCTGGAACCCACACAGGGGAGCTCTGGAACCCACACAGGGGAGCTCTGGAACCCACACAGGGGAGCTCTGGAACCCACACAGGGGAGCTCTGGAAACCACACAGGGGAGCTCTGGAAACCACACAGGGGAGCTCTGGAACCCACACAGGGGAGCTCTGGAAACCACACAGGGGAGCTCTGGAACCCACACAGGGGAGCTCTGGAACCCACACAGGGGAGCTCTGGAACCCACACAGGGGAGCTCTGGAACCCACATAGGGGAGCTCTGGAACCCACACAGGGGAGCTCTGGAAACCACACAGGGGAGCTCTGGAACCCTCACAGGGGAGCTCTGGAACCCACACAGGGGAGCTCTGGAACCCACACAGGGGAGCTCTGGAACCCTCACAGGGGAGCTCTGGAAACCACACAGGGGAGCTCTGGAAACCACACAGGGGAGCTCTGGAAACCACACAGGGGAGCTCTGGAACCCACACAGGGGAGCTCTGGAACCCACACAGGGGAGCTCTGGAACCCACACAGGGGAGCTCTGGAAACCACACAGGGGAGCTCTGGAACCCTCACAGGGGAGCTCTGGAACCCACACAGGGGAGCTCTGGAACCCACACAGGGAATTTAAGATTTAGATAATAATGATAACAAATATAATAATAACAGTAACAATAAAACCAATAAAAATGACATAGTGCTATTGTCCAGTTGAATAGTCAAATCAGTAATATGCCCAATGATGATAATATTCTATGACTAAATGTTAAAAAAACCAGTGCCTTTATATCTATTGCGCTTATAGGGCTTGACATAAATTTTTAAACACCAATCGACACTTGGTGGTGGTTCTTCTTCTTCACTTCCTCTTTTACCGCTGTGGGTGTCGAGGGAGATATAAGGTTCTATTTCTGGCTCTTCTGGCCGCCTCGACCATAGGCACATCGGGCTGTTGTAGAGTTTCTCTGATGTTATCCTTCCGTCTTGTTCTTGGTCTACTTCTTGCTCTACGTCCTTCTCTTTCCATGTATGCTTTGTATGGTATGGTGTCACAAGGCATTCTCTCCAAGTGGGCAAACCATTTCACTTGCTGTCTCTGTATGTAATTTAGAATTGGTTCTGTGCCGACTTTTTCTCTTATGATCTCATTCCTGATCTTATCTCTTATAGTCACTCCTACAGCCCTTCTCAGACATCTCATTTCCATGGTTAATTTTCTTTTATGGTTTGTTCTGAGTGACCATGTCTGGCACTGGTAGCACAGAGTTGGAATAAATATGCTTTGAATAAGATGTCTCTATGTGCTGATTGGGATTGTCTTATGCTGTAAGTGCTGATTGGGATTGACTTATGCTGTAAGTGCTGATTGGGATTGTCTTATGCTGTAAGTGCTGATTGGGATGTCTTATGCTGTAAGTGCTGATTGGGATTGTCGTATGCTGTAAGTGCTGATTGGGATTATCTTATGCTGTAAGTGCTGATTGGGATTGTCTTATGCTGTAAGTGCTGATTGGGATTGTCTTATGCTGTAAGTGCTGATTGGGATTGTCTTATGCTGTAACTTAGTGGTTGATGTGGTCAGCATCACGCCGACCACCTTTACTTCCCAGGACTGCACCTGATACCCACGAAAGGCTGGGTGGACCTGGGAGTCAAGGTAATTTTGAAGAGAGCACAGTTCCGCCAGGACCCGAACTCGCGAGCTTCACATCTGCAGGCAAGCGTCTAGCCGCTATACGACGGCAACAAAATACTATGTGTACTCAAAGATCGATGGATCTGTTTGTACCATCTAATGTTCTACCTAAAGATGACCATAAAAAAGACCCTTTTCC